TTGGGTATCGTTTTCGAGGTATTTGGGGGTGCTCATTACGAATATTGCTTTTGTTTGAACTGTCGTGTTTGCCATCTTGGATTTAGAAATGAGTCCCATATTTGTATTGAACATTCCCAAACATCTCAAAAACGATACCCAACTTGCCATTATTCGAAAAATCGCGCCCGCCATCTTGGATTTAGAAATAAGTGCCATATTCGAAACCTAAAACCGAAAATGCCATAAGCAAACATTCAAGAAAATAACTGTTAAAATAGATTAAAAAATCGCTTAAGAATGCTCCCCTTTTAAGAAAATAAAATATTTTAATATAAAATATTTCGCTTGAGTTACGAAAAGAAAGACATATAATAAGCTATCAAAGTTGTACTGGTGGTGCCAACCATAGATTTAGTATATCCATAGATTGGCCCTGACGTATTGGAGACGAGACCAAAACAAAAATACATCTGTGTGCGTATAATGTGCATGTGTGCAAGATAAATAGTGTTGCGCCATCCACTGATTTAACTTTAATATCGATTAACATATTACACCGGCATTTCACTTCGTTGTATTCACCAAAATGTCTTAACGCAAAATACCGAGACGTTAATTAACTAGTTAATTAATGATTCAATAGAAAATTAAGAAAGCTACTATCACCTTCTGGTAGTGCCACAGGATGGTAGGTAAACAATGGGGACTTTCACCCAAGATAACACTATGGCTCTACAAAATGGTGATAACACCCATGATCACTTACGGCGCGATAGTATGGAGGCCACCAAGCTGACGACCGCAACCTACAAACAAATATAACTATTATAATTATTGTATGATATGATAACATAGAAGTGCATCACAGCAGTGAATTTGCAGATAAGTAATAGAACCAAAAGACTGGCCAAGTGCGAGTTCAACTCGCGCGGAGAGGTTTCGGCACAAACTTAACATTGTAGTTGAAGAATATGTTCTCCAATAGATTCCAACAGCAAATATAGGTTTATTCGCACAATAGTAGGAAATTTAAAGACAATTTCTGTATTTTTTCAAAACTTTAGGCTCTGTAGTTTCGAAGATAAAGGGTAGAATGATCAATTTTTGTCTATTTCATTAAACAACTTAAAAATATTTATATTTCAAAATTACAAAAAATATATATTCTTAAGAACTTTCCCTCCCAATAGTGACTTAAAAATTTATAATTAATTTATTTACGTTGCATGTTTTGGTCACACAAATGCATATGTCTACCAAGTTCGAAAAAAATCAGTATCGTATTTTGGAACAGAACAGAACTCTAACAACAATAAATCGCTGATTTGTTGTTAATGAGAGTAGTGCTACACAAAAATCAATTAATTGTAAGACATACCGCATGAATAATGTGGGTACAGAACCAGAACGTAGCTTTACTCTTTGCTTGCCTCTAAAGGCGTTTTATTTAAAAGCATTTTTCCTCAAAGTGTTTGTTTGCTGCATATTTTTGAAAACTTTTTGGAAACCCAGTCTTCTCTCTTTAGCATTATAAGCCATTTCTGTCGTACTTCAATGTTTTGAGGAAATCCGAATCAACAACAATAATTAACATAAAAAATGGGTGCCTCAACTATGCTATTAAAAGAAATTTTCGTTTTAATGTAAACAAAAAATTATGCACTAATGCAATATAAAGTACTAAAACCAGAAATTTCTGATTCAATAAATAAAAAAAAATTGAGTATGAAGATGATTTCGGCTGTATGCAAGTCACGCCTTTGCCTTTCTTTTTTTCAGTTAATGACATCTCGATAACGTATTATCGATTGCGTCAATCTCTATGAAAGTGGGGTTATGAATTTCAGAAATTCACGTATTTGATATATTTTTTAATTGAATTCGTATAAATTTGCGTTATTAATGCGCTTGAATGGTATAATTTTACGGATATATTTATGTAAAAAACTTTTGTGGTAGTGCTTTTAGACAGCTAAAAATTTAAATAATACTTACATGTGAAATGTACAATTCTGCGAGTTTTCCTTTTTAGATGAGTTACATCCGGGCACTGAAAACTTTACAATGACTAATAAACGTCCGTTTAACACTATTTCACATTTTAAAACCAATTATTTTCAAAAATAAACGAAATTTGTTTCGTTGTCAGCTGATCCTAGGTTCATATAGGCTCATAGCTTATAATGAAGTGGTCTCGTCTACCCATCTCGCTCTAACATACGTGTATACTAACTCTCTTTCATTTGCATTGCCAATCTATGGGTACCTATATACTAAATCTATGGTGCCAACACTATAGTAGAAACATATATATACTGTAAATTTGTTGCAATATGTGCTCCAATTCAAATAAAATTAATATAAATAATTATTCAATAAAGCATGAACGCAGAGCCGTTAAAAGTATTATAAAATAATTAAGTGTCCCAATCACTTACAGGAGTTAACGAAAACATTTAATGTTTATTCGAGTAAATATTAGTTCAAAATGCGCAAATAAATCGAAATTACAGGCACCACTAAAATTTACGTAATATAATTATTTTGATACAGAATAGCAAAATGGGGAGAAAAAAAATTCGTTACTTTGCAACACTTTCGTATCTTGTTGCCGCGAAATTATTTTTCTGTTTTAGTGAATATTTACATAAAAATATGAGTTGAAACGCATTACTTACTTGTGGAATGCGATGTTAGTGTCTATTTTGTTTGTCTGTTGTATTTTTACACCCATTTACCGCACATTTCGTCATTTTTAGCAAAAAATTTTGGAGCTGTTCGCGGTGCAATATGACCTTGAGCACTAACAGCCCGCGCGCTCCTGGGACGCGTTTGGAACCCTCTAACTTGCCTCACTTAGCGTGTGCGGGCTAGGTTTCTATGCGTTATTATTCTAAGCTTGTAAGTATAACTAAAAGCCACAGAGAAAAACGAGAATTTTTTTGGAAAGAGGGTAGTCCCATTTAAATTTGAATAAAATATTCCACCTCTAAGGGTAGCAAACTAGGGGGTAAATCCGGTTTCGCGCACTTGCCGGCAACCGATGTGAATAAAACTTGGCAAATAGCTGTAATTCCACGAACTTTTGAGGTCGGTTTTTTTAGTACTCTGTACTGAGATTATGTGGAATTATTTCCAAAGGTAACATTCTTGTTTTATGTGTTATATTGTAGGTTCATATAAAATTAATGTATATATTCCATGTTTGAAAGTAAACAAAACACTGGTGATTTCTTGTAAGGCTTTACAGTGTAGGCCATCGATACGACAAAAAGAGGCAGAAGAAGTGATGTAAATTTAAAATTTGTGTACGGATATTGAACTTTGATTTGCTGCTTAACATGTTCTAGTTCTTGTTTCTTCTTCTTCTTTATACAATCGGTGATTTCGCCAATGTCAAGTTAAGACAGCCACGCGATACTTTTTTTTTTTTTTTACTCAGAATTTGGCAGGTGAATTTCGATAGAATTCGCTGAGAGGAGAATCTACAACAACAGACAACATACGCTGACTATTACAGACACAAATTGTTACTTTTAATAAATTTACACAGGACATACCTACACAAAGCGGGAGTGGACTAACGTTAGGAGGAAGTTGATATTAACGGGAAGGGGGATGATATCACACAGTGGAGTAACGATACGGTTACAGTAAAAAAACAGGTGCTCGAAGTAGATCAGTGTCAGTCGATCATTTTTGATAACCCGGGTCAATTATGACCCATGCGTAGTGTGATAGGGTCAAATGATTCAATCATATGTTCGATATTTTAGCGGGTTACCCGTCTCTCATGACAGTTCCATATGGCGTTTAATAGTGTCAAATTATACAATTAGCTTTTATTCTTTCCTGCTGATGGGTAATGTGTCTGCAGTTAACTGCATCATTGATAAACCACACTTAGGACACTAAAATTTCCTTCTAGAAAAACTTACGGTGTTACAAAACAAAAATACATAACAAAAACCTAAGAGCATTCAAAATTACTAATTTATTATTCATTAATATTAGCTACTGCCCTCTTAAATAATACAACATACCGAAAAATAGATTAAACTTACAAAATTACCATATAATAGAAACTACGCTACGGAACAATTAGGATAAATGATTGATAGACTCGTTGATCCGTTAACCCGTTGACTTATTGATCGATTGCTTGACTTTTTGGTTCGATCGAACGAAGTTTCTATCGACCGAATGCTCTATCGAACAAATGTTCGACCCAAACGAAGAGTGAGAAGGCGAACCGTGTCATGAATGGGGACTTCACGTAAGTGAACGAGACACCAATAATATTGTGAATTGTTGAATAATCTCTAAAATTATAACGATAAAGTCGAATATTGCGCGCATGACCCATAAACTCTAAAATTATCAGGTTATTTAGAAGCTAGTAACAGAATTATCGGGTCACAGATGCTGTTCGAATCATATTGATTCGATCGAACACTATCTACACACATCTAGTACACACTAGAACCTAGTCACTTTATCTGTTACGTTACAGTAACAGCTCGCTAATAGTACGCGGCTTAACAATATGAATGTTATAAATTATTGCATTCTGGTTTCCTACTATTTCCTCAAGTTGATAATTATTCTTTCAATATTTTTCAGTCAGTATTACTGGGAACACTTTTAAATATTTTTAAAAAAGGCGTCTCGCGCAGCACTCGAGGACTATTATATGACCCTGAGGTCTTCAAAACAATGACTTTTTAAAAACGCAATTAAAGAGACTTGATTGTATAGAACAGAAGACTATTTTTTTGAACAAGGCTATACCTACCGATTCAAGACAAAATTATATACTGAAAATAACACTGGTTGGATACGGCTTCACGAAAAAAGTTAAGATAATAAAAACTCCGGTTATTTCATTATATATTTATTAAAATTAAGACTAAAGCCTAGGCTGTACGGTCCATAGACCTTTGCCATTCCTCAAGGAAGAAGTAAAAGAAACAACATCAAATTATTATTTGACGTTTTTTATCACCCTATCTCTATTTATTTTAATTTTTTATATTTGTGATGTGAGCTTTCTAATTTGTGAGTACAACAACAATTAGAATAGTGCAGATTTTCTTCTAATATATTTCCGTAAAATTTATAATAATACTCTTTCATTAAAATTAAGGAAGAGACATTGGCGACGATCGCCATATCTTATTTTATTTAAAACTGAGACGCGCGAAATCTTAAACAAAGCTCCGTCTCAATAAGCAAAAAGAAAGAAAATTATAAATATTACTTACGATGTCGTACACGGACTTACAAGGTACTATCAATGTGAAGGAGGAACCAAGCGAATTAGAAGACGGCCCTGTGGGTTTACATGGGAATGTCCACATTATTAAACAGGAGCCAGTTGATGTTGCAGAAGAACAAAAAAAGGAAGAGTTGAATCTGTATGGAGATCATGAAATCAAGAAAGAGTTGGTCATAGGACCTGTGTTATTGCAACCTACTGATTTAGCTCAAGAAAAATGTGTGCAAAACACTTCTAATGGGTTGAATGTTGATACTAGACCGCACAAGTGTGATATTTGCACCAAATGCTTTGTATATTACTATCAACTTAAGCGTCATTTAAAAACTCATATTGAAAAGAAGCCGTTCAAATGTGAACATTGTAATGAAACTTTTACTCGTAAAGGAAGTTATAATAAACATGTAACAATTCATACCGGAGAGAGACCATACAAATGTGAGCACTGTAACAAAGTTTTTGATTATAAATCAAGATTTAAATCACATTTATGGTCTCATACTGGAGAGAAACCATACATTTGCGATATTTGTCATGTAGGTTTTAGAAGAAAATTTGATCTAAAAACTCATATAATGTTCCATACTGGAGAAAAACCATACAAGTGTGATACTTGCAATGAATGTTTTACAATAAAAACCCATCTTAAACGTCATTCAATGGTCCACACTGGTAAAAAACCGTTCAAATGTGACTATTGTAACAAATTTTTTGTTTGGAAATCTAATTGTCTTAAGCATTTAAGGACTCATACTGGAGCAGAACCGTACAAGTGCGATCCCTGTAACAAAGTTTTTCCGTATAAATCAGGTATTATTAGACATTTGAAGACTCATACCAGAGTGAAATCATACAAATTTGACCACTGCAACAAAGTTGAAAAAGAACAGTACATATGTGACTATTGTAACAAATTGTTTCCTTACAAATCCACTTTGATTATACATTTAAGTACTCATACTAGAAAGAAGCTGTTCAAATGTGAACAATGTAATGAATCTTTTACCCGTAAAGCAACTTATAATACACATGTAATGACTCACACTGAGTTCATACAAATGTGACTATTGTAACTTAAGTGTTCGATTATAAATCAAGTTTTGATACATATTTAATGACTCATACTTCTTATCATATCAATATTGGAGAGAAACTATTCAAGTGTGATCGATATTATTTATTGGCAATAAAGTTTTAAAACAAATACCTTCAGTCCGGTTGAGAAAAAGTCCAATCATACAGTTGTCTAAAACATTAAAACAACTACAGAAAAAGTAGAAATGCCCACGCAATCAACTGACACTACAATTATTTTGTTCTGAGAAGCCATGAGAACCATAGTGGCCTAACTCATTTTTTTACAAGATTGAGTTTATGATTTTTTCCAGTTCAAATTGATCATTTTGATAGAACCAGAAAGGCCTAAAAGTGATACAACGAATTTTCACTAGATGGCAGCATAATCATTGTTATGGTTTTTAGTCTGTGATCTAAATTTGAGGTGCAATACTGGCCTAAGTAAGATAGGCCACTATGGCTTCTCCATTGAATTAGGCCACTATGGTTCTCATGGCCTCGTATGATAATAAAGACTAAGATTAAATAGAAAACTATGTGTCTGTAAGTAACTTCGAAAGTGTTACTGGGCAGATTCACAGAAGCCTTGAAAGGAAACTAACTAAAAAAATAGCCAGAATACAAAAATTCATAACATCATTGTTTCTACTCATACAAAAAAGTTCTGATGTCCATGAAGAAAATGGACCATTCAGATCTTCCAAAGGCCTCCAGATATCAAACTCTAAGTTTAGAATGCAAAGAAAATTGCACATATTATTAATACACAAATATGTTAAGCACTCTTTAGTCCCCAAAATTGTGTAATTGGACTACATCATACTTTTAAGATGGTTAATTCTCAAATTAATTCAAGTGAATGCGTGTCATGATTTGCTTAAAACATTTATTGTACCTATTAATTAATAATTGTGTTATTTTTTTATATTAGTTAGCTCACGTTTTGTATAATAGAACTATGTATATAATAGTAATAATAATAATAATAAAGCTGTAATTTTCAATATATGCCGCATTGTCAAAAAGTTCATGCAGATGGAAGAGGACGAATTTGGCTCTTATTACACACACCCCACATAGATATCAGAATTCAGACAGATTGAATGAATATTTCTTAGTATTTTGATTTTGAACAAACTAGTGGAGTAATAGCACAAAAAATATTGAATATTGTGGTAGTAAAACATTATGACATTCGACAAATTTCGAAATTCCAATTATTAAAGCGACATTTCTAGTCGGCGATGGTAGCTGTACCTCTCTGAGAAATAAAATAAATTTCTCACAGATGCCGTAGCACAAAGTCGTAAAAACCAAAAAAACAAAGATCTGCAACAAGCACATCCATACAGCTACCATCGCCGACTAGCTGGTTCGTATCATGGCTAAATTGGCAGGGCTTCTATCACGGATTGCCTGAAGTTTTCTTAGTGTTTACATCTCTCGGTATAATAATTTTAATATTGTAATTTTTCCGCTCCCTTTTCTAAAGGGACTAAGTAAGACAGGAAACCAATATTTATTCCCATTACCAGTAGTAAGACGGACAATAAAGGATTGTAATGCCTTAACAGGCCTGTGTGTAAGTGTACTTAAAATTATTATAACATTAGAACAATAAATTATTGAATATATAAGGTAAATTAACAAACGAGTTTTATTTTCAAATTTATTTTTTTCATTAAAATCGAAATATAAAAAATGGGCTGTTAAAACAGCGCCTTTGCATTTTCATGTCGTTAGCTAATAAAAAAAAAGACCTGTCAAAATCTAAACTTTAAATTCCGATTCGCTCTGGACCTTTTGGAGGGAAAAGTGTCGTTTTTATTTTGACTTTTAATTATTTTGTGAAATCTAGTTAAAGTTGAATAGGATAGTGCGATAGTGCTATTGTACCTTAATCGAAGATTAAAACGCGAAAGTATACGAATCTCGAACTAAAATACCCGTATCGGCCCGTTTTAAGGAATCCCGAGTCAATCCAAGCACGCCGCCTTAAATTGCCTATCCTCTTTATGGCGGCCATATTTACAGAAACATAATTAAACTTCATGACCAAAAAAGAATAATATACCAAGACTTGGCTGTATGGTATAAAACCTTTGCCTTTTCCTTTATGGAAAGAAGAAAAAAAAAACTTTAAATTCCAACTCCTCACTTCTTCAGAGGAGTGGTTCGTCTGATAAGTAGTTTTGTGCTTGTTGTCACCAACTGATGTGTGAATTGAGGTGTCTCTATTGGAACAGAAATTTCAGAGAATAACCTTTTACCGCGATTACCTCTTTAGCAGTCTCACAAGTAGCTATGTATTCAGCTTCAGCCGTATTTAAAGCTACACAACGCTGCTTTTTAGATTGCCATGTGATAACAGCACCACCATAAACGAGAGAATAACCTGAAAAAGATTTACCATCGAACTCATTTCCCCAACTAGCGCTAGCATAGGAAACCATAGGTTCGCTGCACTTCGTATAGCAAAGCGCCAGATCCACTGTCCCCTTTAAGTACCTCAACACGCGCTTCAGTGCTGCCATATGACTTTCTTCGTTGCAGTTATTATACTGGCTCAGCATTGTTACCGTATATGATATATATATCGGGTCTTGTACAGCAAGCCAAATACAAGAGTGAGCCTACTATTTCTTCGTAAAGAGGTTCAAATGCTTTCTTTCTGATTCGTTCCAATAAAATGCGCTTATTATATAACATCTTTTTGTAATAGAAGATCTTATCGATTAACTTAAATAATGAAAACGCACGTCAATATATGAACTTGCGACTGCCTTAATTAATTTTACTAGAAGGTTTCCTGTTGGTAATTTGATGAATGGTTAATGAAGGTCTCGTGGGAAATTTTTGTGATTTGTTTATTATTTCTCGGATTTCTAACTCTGCTACTCTGCATATTTGGATACCATCTTAGATGGAATAAACTAGACCACCTTCGTCCTCGAAAGCAACGAACTCATACGTATGACCAACTCCAGGTTTTTGTAAAGACAGCGCCCTGTTAATTCTTTGCATTATATATTATTTTGTATTACTCGTGCTACATATCCGGCCATATATGTTATTATTTGCTCACTATATTCGGACATTCGAGGCAACGTGCTGCAAAAAATATCGAAATTACAGATACTACTGCTAATAGATACTACAAAACTGAAAAAAAACCGAAACGTTACTAAACATAAGAAGAAGTGTATTCGGGCGATCTGCGGAGCGTGGTCAAATGATAGTTGTAAACCTTTGTTCCAAAACTTAAACATACTGCCTTTGCCATGCATGTACATTAAGGATATAATTGTATATTTGTAAAGAATCACCCTCAACATTATAAAACGCACGGTCAAATCACTCAAAGACAAACAAGACGTAAAATTATGCACCAATTATTTAAACCTCGCTGCCATAAAGGAATATATGAGAATAACTCGTTCAACATGTCTATACAAATATTTAATCATTTACCATGGGATATTAAGTTACTACAAGGACCTAAATTTAAATCACAATTGACAAAATGGCTTTTGACACATTGCTTTTATAGTAATAAGCAATATTTAGATTGTGCTACAAGTAATGGTCATTAATATAAATTGACATATTTTTAATAAGTTTTTAAAGTATGTAGTAATAATAGAGACCTGTTTAAATTTTATAATATTTGCACACCTGCTTGCAGGTTGAGTACACTGTACCTATTCAAAATCAAGATCTGTAATATACTGTAGTCTGGCAAATAAATAAATAAAAAAAAAAAAAATAATAAATAATAACAAAAAAGTCATAGAATAATTTTGTAATATTGCTAAGGTCATAATAATTTTCGTCCCTTTGTTTTCAAAATCGATCAGAATCGAGAACAGTGTTACCTAACGTATACATCACTATATATTAAATTTGGTCAAATAAATGTACGGACAACAACGCATCAGACTACACATATTTGTTCGAAAATCGCCTCCAGTGCTACGGAACAAAATACGTCAATGTGTAGCTTGATGTGCTGTTGACTGTACAAGCGGCCGTACCACGAAACTGAATGCATTATTCAAGAGTGCGTTCGTTCGATATTCATGGCGTATTAACAAAGGATCACAAATATATCGCACCAAGTAAAAGCCGCAATGTATTACAAACATGAGGCATACATTCGGTTGCATATTTGTTTTCTCGAAATTCATACAAAACAAAATAAAAAAAAAAAAATAAACTATGCATCTTATGATTACATAATCACTTTACCCGTGTATCAACAGTGATGGTGTTTTTGCAGTTTGTAATGGTACAATTATGCATTTTTCGCGTTTTCGACTGGTGTTTATGTGTTTGTGTGCGTGTGTGTGTGCGTGCGCGTGTAAAACGGAACGTTCCCAAAATGAACCTCTACGGGTATGAAATACTCGTATTCAATGCAATAGAAGCACATTTGTAGGCGGCAACACTGCGAATGCTAATCACTGAAGAAGATAAACAAAATTATAAATATTTACTATTGTAACCAATGCACATCGCGTGATTTCGATCCGAATAAACCAATAAAAAGTAATAAAGGTCACAAATACGTTTTTTTTTTTTTTTTTTTTATTAAAAATGGACGAACTCTTGACCACTACCTAGCCCTAGAGCAAAGATGAGGTCTACGTTGGTACGAGCTCGCCCAGGAGATGCCTATTCAATCGCACCTTGAAAATATTCGGGTTGTATGTACTCGGAAAAATAGACGCAGGCAGGGAATTCCAGTCACGGGCTGTGCGCATTATAAAAGATGACGAAAAGCGCTTAGTACGACTTAAAGGAATATCAACCAGGTGAGGGTGATATCCCGCCGTTCGTCTAGATGTCCGATGGTAAAAGGGGGCGGATGGAATGAGCTGGTGGAGCTCATGGGCACACTCTCCGAAGTATAATCTGTAAAAAACCGACAGACCCGCGACCTTTCGCCGATGGGCTAAACTATGAAGTTTATATTCGAGCTCATCGTCGCCAATAAGCCTTCTGGCTCTGCGATCAATCGAGTCAAGAGCCTCTAGTTGGTATTTCGCTGAGCCATCCCACAGGTGACTGCAATACTCCATGCAAGACCGGACCTGCGCTTTATATAAGGTTAAAAGCTGTCCAGGCGAGAAGTATCGCTTCACCTTGTTAAGGATACCCAGCTTCTTGGCTGCAGTTTGTGCTTTAGACTCTATAGAAGCGCCAAAGTTGAGGTTTGCGCTTAATGTCATGCCAAGAAGCTCTAGGCGGTCGGTAACTGGGACAGATACACCCCGAAAAGTAGGAGTCAGATCAAATGGACTCCTTTTTGCGGAAAAAAGACAGGCCTGCGTTTTGGTGGCGTTGAAGCTGACCAGATTGTTGTCACCCCACTGGGCAACAAGACTTAAGGTCAGGTTCGTTCGCTCTACCATAGCCTCTCTCAGCGAACGAATATCTTCCCTGCCGTCTCTTGCGCTAGACAGATATCTCTCGGTAACTGTACTGTCATCTGCATACCCAACTATACCCGGGACCAATAGGTCATTGATGTGTAGCAGGAAAAGAGTCGCCGAGAGAACAGACCCTTGAGGAACTCCAGCATCAATAGCCATCAAGTCAGATGAGCAGCCTTCAATGACTACTCGAATCGACCGTTCCCCAAGGAAATCTGATATCCAGCTGCAAAAGTCGGCAGGGATGCCGTAAGCAGGAAGCTTGCTCAGCAAACTTGCATGCCAAACCCTGTCGAAGGCCTTTGAGATATCGAGCGATACGGCCAGTGCCTCACCGTGTTTCTCGATGGCCTCGCCCCAGCAATGCGTAACATACACGAGAAGATCCCCAGTTGATCGTCCCCGGCGGAAGCCATATTGACGATCACTGAGTAGGTCATTTATTTCAAGGTATGATAGCAGCTTACCGTTCAGAACTCTTTCCATAACCTTGCAGAGTATGGAAGTTATGGCGATTGGTCTGTAATTACAGGGGTCGGCGCGGCTTCCCTTTTTAGGGACTGGTTGCACATTTGCAAGCTTCCATGATTTAGGCACTATTCTCGTTTTTAGTGAGAGGCGGTACAGACACGTCAGTACAGGAGTTAGCTCAGGCGCGCAAAGCCTCAGTACCCGTGCTGGTATACCATCAGGACCACTGGCCTTATTCACATCTAGTCTTCGCAGAGCTCTACGAACCTCTTTTGCGTGGATTGTGACCTCCGGCATTGAAGTGTCACAACGAGGTAAATTTGGTGGATGTTTTGAGCCTGCATCTAGATGCGAATTGCTTGCAAACATTGCAGCAAATAAGTTTGCTTTATCCGTTGCAGAGTGAGCCAGTGATCCGTCAGGTTTCTGCATGGGAGGCAAGGTGGGACGGCAGAAGTTGGATTCAACTGCTTTGGACAGGGACCAGAACTGCTTGCTACCAGGAGGGTAGGATGCAAGCCTGGTCCCGATCCTGCTGACGTATATATTATCAAACCACTTTTTAAATATTCTAAAAGTAGTGTAATAAACTTTCGTGCGGAAAAGGGTTACCATTATTGAAAACTGTGAAGAAAAATACTGATTATATTCATTGGGATGATCCTAACGAGTTGATAGAAAGATTGAGATTGCTTATCCCGTGATGCTGGTAATACTGGCCTAGATATTGAAATTATTTCAATCATAGAAGAATTACGAGAAGCTAATATTATTAGTTGAATAAAATATGCGGTAAGATTCAAAAATATTCAGTCACCGTTTATCTATGGTTTCGTTAACATACAAACATGAATATAGATAAATTTGGTCATCATGTACACAAACGTTTGCGTGTGTCAGAATATTTTGAAATCTTAAACGATACATTAGTGATGTGGGGGCGGATTATGAGAAAAAAACGCCTGGTTGTAAATTGAGCTTCTTGATCTTGGTTTTGCTTGGATCGCGGTGAGATTTGGAACGCCTTCGGAGTCTTGTGCAGTCAATTTTGGAATGTCGTTCCGCTCCCAACGCTCCGCTTTTTATATCATCGCTGGCCCGCCGTGCCGCTCGCATTCTATTCAAGTGTGCGAGCGGGACGGCACCAATGCAGGAGCGGGACGGGAGAACCCTACAGACTCCAAGCAAAACCCCTCTCTCCCTCTCGTTTATTTACCAAACCTTAAACTAAATTAACAACACCAAATTATAATAATAAATCACAATAATAAATTTACAATATTAAAAATTCACATGGGCGCGAACACGTTTTCGTCCTGAACAAGTGAAATCTGATACAGGAGACTATGATTTAAAACTAGCACGTTTACGCGGATTACCATCTCCAATATTTCAAGACGAAGTAGTTAATAAGCAATATATTGATACAACAAACAGTTTTATTCTAAAAAAGAGATTGAGGAAACAATTGAAAGACAAGTCGATTCTTGTTTAAAACATTTGAAAGAAAAACTTTATATGAATATATTGTCTATTTACTATACTAAGACTGACGTTGATAAAATCATTACAAAAATACAGAACAAGACATCACGAGTAAACATACTGTTGTAGAAGAACTCCATAAACCGGCGAGACGGAATTTTCTTCGTTGTGCAACAATAATTAAAGGAATTGGTGGTTTATGGCAAGCAGATCTTATTGACATGAAAAAATATTCTAGTTTTAACAAGAATTTCGAGAATTTCTAGATTTAAATATATACTTGTTGTGATTGATACACTTTCTAAGGTTGCTTGGACGGTGCCAGTAAAATCAAAAGCGAAAGACGATATTGTAAAAGGTATGCAACTAATTTTAAATATTTCAGCTCGTAGTCCTTCTTACTTACAAACAGATTTAGGGAAAGAGTTTTACAATGCTCCTTTTCAGAAATTAATAAAAAAAAGTATGGTATTAAACATAATTCAATATTTTCCACAAAAAAGCATCAATAGTTGAAAGATTGATTTTTTAAATATTTTAGTCTAAAAGGAAAATATGAATAGTTGGGAAATAATTAAATATGTCTGTTAAATCCATAGATATAGAAAAAAAGGGGAGATATGGTATGAGGGCGTGGTTCGTGTCGCCTTGATATGGTCAAAATGATCATATCGAGGTCAAAATGACCATTTCGAGGCGACACGCTTACAAACATCGCCACAGTGACATAGCGATCGTTGTACATACAAGATCTTTCGTAAAACGTGAAAATGCCAAGTTGTAGAGATACACCTTGTAAAAATTGGTGTGAAAACAAAAATTTTAAAACCCTTTGAGATAACATTCCACCGGCTATTTGCATTTTTAATTACTATTTCTATTATTATTCAATGTATTCATTTTGTGTCCATACAAATTTCCAGACTCAAATATAGTGTTCATTCACGAAGACTGATGTTTATCGACAATAAATTTTTACTGAAATGTTTGAATTTCTTACTATGATTTTTGTAATTAAAGTCCTTACAAAAAGCGGATCTCACGAATTTTTCTATATGCTTGTCTTTGTATTTGGTTTTTTCAACGACTTTTTAGTCGTAGCGCCATCCATAAGAAATCTATGAAAGATTTATCACCCAGTTAGTGCCTTTACAGTTACCAATCCTGGCGAGAGATGTCGCTCAATGTTCAATTTTTTTTTTAAATTACTCCACTAGTTTGTTATAATTATTAATACAAAGATCGAACACTCAGAAAAAATTCCTTCGATCCGGCCGGATTCGAACCGACGTCTTCTAGCTTACCGTGCCAGACGCTATACCAACTATACCACGCAACGAACTAGCGGATCTCACGAATTTTTCTATATGCTTGCGTCGTGTCTTTGTATTTGGTTTTTTCAACGACTTTTGAAAAAACCAAAGTGTTCGATCTTTGTATTTATAATTTTGCTTCGAGCGTGAAAAAGTGAAATAGATCAAAGAACTTTGTGAAAATTGTAATATGATAGAATTAGCTAGGTAGCGAAGCAATGTGCGGTCAAAAACGCTATTTGTTTATTAAAATGGTATTTTGATAATCATAATGTAACCAGTTTCAATTTTTTTCACCGTAAATACTGCATTAATTTCAATAAATGTATTCACTTTTATTATGTTCTCCAACACAAAAGCTGAGTCATGTTTAAAGTGAAGTTTGCTGTACTTAATTAGGATAGAAATATTGTATTTCAGCAAATAAAAAGTACACATACCTACTTAATACAAAATTAATGTATTCTTTATTTTACAAAATAAATGTATAATAAAAAATCTTAAAATTGAATAATTGTATTTTATTGCGTTTGGACAGGGTTGCTTGCTCGTCGCGCTGAGTTGCTTCGGCGCGGTCAAGGTCTATAACAAATAGATATTTAAAACTTAAGGGTGAATCAGTGAAATAAAAATATGAACAATAAAAACAATAAAATTAAAAAGAAATGAAGATGAAACATTACCTAAGTACGTTTGGCTACTGGATAAAACTGACCTAGTTATATCTATGTTGCTCGCTTCTTCATTCCTGTGACCTATGTCGGCGCCAATTAGCTAGAGTAACTGTATCGTTTTGTTTATTATGGGATCGCTTTCACTATATATCAGATATTGCGTTTTACTAAATGATGCCACTTGCACTTCAGATGCAGTTTCTTCACATTTTGAGAGTTCTAAAAACGTAATATGTACTTAGGAATTTTATCGTCCATCGAGAGAACGTTGCTAGCATGCATAGTTGTTTTTGATTCAGACATTTTGATTTTATTTTTGTAAATTCCCGCCTCTAGGAAAATGTATATTCGCGCTCTATTATTTAACCCCCTTACTATCAAGTGTTTGTTTACAATTACGGTGCCCTATTTTTTGTATGAAATCGGTTTTCTCCTTGTGAGTATAGTGTAGGTACTGTCGGTACTGTGTACTATTATAGTCTTTGAGTTCCTGTGTCCACAATGCGCCCTATTATATCTTTCTAATTTGTGAATGTGCCGGACATTCCTGGGTCGTACATTTGTACGTTGATGTATTGTATGTACATTGACGGCTCTGAAATCGTAAACAATGCAGGCACCATCTCCCGTGGTCCAACTTACCAACACCGGTTAATGTCCTATTAGAGCTCAGCGAATTTTTTTTTTGTTTCGTTTTTTTTCTTTCAACCGTGACATTGGCAAAATCATCATTTCTCATACTGATGGAGCCATAAAAATAAAAATCCAATCTAATCCAGGCACCATCTTTTTAAATTGTGACAGGCATCGCAATAGATACCTACGAGTATTTACGACCGCCTCTGTAAGCAAAAAGACGCCAAATTATAATTAATCTACATCAACGAACAATGTCGTACACGGACCTACAAGATGTTATGAACGTTAAGAAGGAGGCAAGCGAATTAGAAGACAACCCTTACTGCCCTTTGAGTGTCCACTTCAAACAAGAAATTAGTGTTGCGGAAGAAAAACAAAAGAAGGAGGAGTTGGATCTGTATAGAGATCATGAAATTAAGGAAGAGTTAGTCATAGGACCTGTGGTGTTGCAACCTACTGATTTAGAACTAGCAAAATGTGTGCAAAACACATCTGATGGGTTGAATGTTGATACTCGACCATACAAGTGTAATATTTGCACTAAATGCTTCATAGACACCTATCAACTTAAGTCTCATTTAAGGACTCATACTGGAAAGAAGCTGTTTGCATGTGAACAATGTAATGAATTATTTATTCATAAAGTAAGTTATAATATACATTTATTAACTCATACTGGAGGGAGACCATTTAAATGTGAGTACTGTAACAAAGTCTTTAAGTATAAATCAATTTTTAGTGCACATTTAAACACTCATACCAGAGAGAAGCCGTTCAAATGTGAACATTGTAATGAATCTTTTACCCGTAAAGCAAGTTATAATAAACATGTACCACATCATTTTGGAGAGCGACCGTACAGGTGTCAGCACTGTAACAAAGTTTTTGAGTTTAAATCAAAATTTAATTCACATTTATTGACTCATACTGGAGAGAAACCGTACATTTGTGATACTTGCAATGAATGTTTTAGAAAGAAATTTGATCTTAAAACTCATATAATGCTCCATACTGGACAAAAACCATACAAATGTAACATTTGCAATGCATGTTTTACATTGAAAACCCATCTTAAACATCATGTGTTGCTCCATACTAGTCAAAAACCGTACAAATGTGACCATTGTAACAAATTTTTTGCTTGGAAATCAAGTTATCGTTATCATTTAAGGACTCATTCTGGACAGACACCATATAAGTGTGATCTCTGTACCAAAGTTTTTCCATACAGATCAGGTATTATTAACCATATAAAAACTCATACCAGAGTGAAATCATACAAAATTGACCTCTGCAACAAAGTTGAAAAAAAGTGTTACATATGTGACTATTGTAACAAATTGTTTCCTTACAAATCAGCTTTGATTATACATATAAGGACTCATACTAGAAAGAAACTGCTGTTCAGATGTGAACAATGTAATGAATGTTTTACCCGTAAAATAAGTTATAATAAACATGTAATGGCTCACACTGGACAGAGACCATACAAATGTGACTATTGTAACAAGGAATTTGACTATAAATCAAGTTTTGATACACATTTAACGACTCATACTGGAGAAAAACCACACAAGTGTGATATTTGTGAAAATAAAAGTTATAAAAGAAAACAAACCCTTAAGGCTCATATAATAAAATATCATGTTGAGAAAATGTCGACTTGTCCCATGGTCCAGTTGTCCATAACATTAAAACAACTACAGAAAAAGTAGAAGTACCAATGCCATCAACTAATACTGTATTATTCATTTGTGCTACATGTTAATAAAGACAAAGATTAAATAAAAAACTATGTGTCTGTAAGTGCAATACCTATTTGCAAAGTATTTTCAAAAGTGTTACTGGACAGACTGCTAAAACTAACTCAAAGAAATAGCTGGAATCCAGAAATGCAAAATTTCTCAAAATTGTCAGTCATGCAGAAATCTTTTTTAAAAACACCATATAATAACGACATACTCACTATACATATATGATATAATAGTTTATACCCATTAAAACTTGAGCACTTATGAGCGACGTACAGGCAGAGGCAGAAAGTTACGAAACCTGGGAAAATAAAATCAGTTGCCCACTGTACCAAACTCGCAACTCGAAATTCGCGAGTAATAGGTCCCTATTCTACAAACATCTACCCACAAATCTGAAAAGTGTTAGAAACAAAACGTTTAATACCCGACTAAAACTCCTTTTATTGAATAATGAATTGTACAGTGTCGAAGAGTTCAAGTGTGATTTTGTTTTACTTGACTTCATTGTATTTCAACAGGCAGTAGTTATAGTACTTTATTTTATATTCATTATGATTGTTCGCATTAGTAACGATCATATTATCCTTTGACATTGTATTTTGAACTCTAATATTGTGATATTGATAATATGAAATAAATGTTTATATTCTATTCTTGTTGTTTAAACTGTTTAGGAAAACTCTGTTGCACATAAATAAAATGGGACCATCCAGATGTTCCCAAGGCTCAAAGATTGAAATTCAAAGAAAATTGTATGGACAACGGCACATCAGACAACACGTTTTTGTTCGAAAATCCATTGCAACGGAACAAGATACGTCAATGTGTAGCTTGATGTGCTGGCGTGTGTACAAATTTGAGGCAATACACAAATATGCTAATTAACCACTCATTTGTTCCCAGATGTGTGATTACACTGCACCACTTTTTAGATTATTAATTTTCAATTCAAGTGAAGTTGCGTCATGATTTGTTTAAAAACGTACACTGTACAGGGTGAAATTAAATCTATAGAAATATTTTAAAGTAGGTAATTTAAATAAGGAATATAATAAAACCATTAATACCTACTTAGAGCCCTTAAGTGGCAGGTTTAAGAAAAATATATTGGAGGTTTGTGAGGCTTATACCTTGCAACATGGTCGAAAATATAATGAAAAAAAGAGCGAGTTCATGCTTTTATAAGAAAAAATAAGGGTCCTTCTCACGTCCCCGTTGAAATGTGTTAACAATTTCAAATACCTGGATCATATAGGACATGAAAGATGATATGGACATAGAGAGGGAACGCAGGGCATTGTCAGTTAGAAGTGGTACGTTGGCTCCCAGGTTCGCTCGATGCAGGGGGTCTGCTCTCGATCTCGTCCGAAACAATTACTGCCAAACAAGCAATACTTGACCAAATGAAAAGACGCGTGATGCGAATGAAGCTTCATACTGGATACTTGTCTTTTAATTTTGTCGAATATTACTTATTTGACAGTAATTGTTTCGGACGGAGATCGAGAGACCCGTAGTATTGAAGTTAAACTAACTTTTTTCCGTGCATTCTGTCAAAGTTTTTACACCTGCGACCTGTGGGCTAATTCTAAGCTGAATAGCTACAATGCCATGCGGGTCCCGTACAATAACGTTTTCAGGGCCCTGTCGGGGCTGCCGCGGTACTGAAGTGCTTCAGGCATATTCGTAGACGACTTCTATGCCATACCTACTACGCAAAAAGACCGCGTCAGTGTTGCATCGTATACGAGGGAGCGCCAACGGGATCCTGAAGATGATAGCAGAAAGTTTCTATTCGGTCATTCTTAGAAAATGTGTAGTTTGATGATCGGCCACTACCGACTAATCCTTTAAGCGCACTCATTCATTCGAGATATACACACTCCTTGTTTGATTACAATTAAATAAATAATAATAATAACGCACACACTCAACATAGCCCTGCACTAAGGAAACCCTGTGTCGCAAGTGCCATGTGTGTGTGTGTCCTCACACATAGACAACCACAAATTACACCCAAACTCACGAGAGAAATAAAGTAGGCCACACAAATACTTCTCTCCGGCCTGGAAATGAACGAACCCGGAGACCTTTGCGTGGCAGTCCGGTTAGGCCACGGAGGCAGTTAATTATATTTTAAATTTACAAAATAAATATTAATAAATTATAACTGTATTGAAAAAAATATTATGATTATAATTATTATTTCGGACATCTATTTTAGACTCTCGCCTCACCTATTATTATTATTATTATTGTATATTACTATAAAGACATTGCATATCATTAAATAGGTACATATTTTTTGTTTTTTAGCGTACCTACATGTTACTAACATAGTTCTTATGGTTTTGTTACTTATTTGTCTGAAATTAAATTATTTTATTTTATTTTATTTTATATAATTATTATTAACAAAAAAAGTCTTATCTAAATAAACAAAGCATCAACCAAAACATTTATTTATTTCATTTGAGAATTTACAGCTATTAAAACAATGTAATGTATACACAAACATGTTATTAATTAATATTCTTCAATAAAACTAGTTATTTCTTACTTTAAAACTTTCTTCTATTCAATTTAACTCAAAAACTTAACTCAACCGCGATTACATATTTTTTCTTCTATTTTTGTTTTTTTTTAAACCAGAGATCACATTATTACACCGCGTTTACACTATCGTCGATTGTTTCGACGAATGTTTCGTAAACGTCGAAACAATCGTGTCGAGAGGTTGAAACGCGTTCATACATTCGTGCAATACGCGATGTGTTGCACGACACGCATGTGGATGACCAAAACTACTAATATTATTTCATAATTCAAATTAGTATACTTATTTGATATGCTACTTCATAATACAAGGCTTCATTGTTGATATATATTTTTTGTATTATTACAGTAAAAACATATTACCCTTAAGCTAATTTTATTTAACCAAAATTAAAAAAGTTAATACACTAGACACTACCTAAGATAAATCATCTTGTACAGAATTGTAATATAAGACATGCTTTGTTTCTGTACGTTAATTGAGAACTCCAATATACGCCAATTTCATACAGAGCGTATTAAAGAGGCCATTGAGCGGAACAAAGGCTCCAAGGTGTTCGCGAGAGACCTGTTTATTGGGCAAAGCCAACTGACGAAGCTACAAACTGATGACGGTAGCATCATTTCATCTAAGCCTGAAATCCTGAGGGAGATAGAGAGTTTCTATCAACAGCTATACTCCACGAAAGCACCTGTTGAAAGCGAGGTTAAAGACCCCAGAGCCAAGCTTACCCGACATTATACCGAAGATATCCCGGACGTCAGCCTGTATGAGATTAGTGTGGCTCTCAAACAACTCAAGAACAACAAAGCGGCGGGCGATGATGGAATCACTACAGAACTTCTGAGAGCGGGCGGCAAGCCGATACTAAAAGTCCTCCAGAAGCTTTTCAATTCTGTCATCGTCGAAGGTCAAACGCCAAAGGCATGAGGCAGAAGCGAGGTCGTTCTATTCTTCATAAAGGGTGATAAAATACTCTTGAGGGACTATCGGCCAATCTCGCTTCTGAGCCATATCTATAAGTTGTTTTCGAGAGTTATCACGAGTCGTCTCGCTCGCAGGTTTGACGACTTCCAACCTCCCGAACAAGCCGGTTTCCGAAAGGGTTTTAGTACCATAGACCGCATCCATACGCTGCGGCAGGTTATACAGAAGACTGAGGAGTATAACCGGCCACTCTACTTAGCGTTTGTGGACTATGAGAAGGCCTTTGATTCGATCTAGACCTGGGCGGCGCTGCAGTCTCTCCAAAGGTTCCAAGTAGACAATAGGTATAGAGGTGTTAAGGTACTGTGACTCGCTGGCTTAAATAAAAACCACATTAATTTTATATGAACTGTATTTCTTGAGTTCTGACAAATATTACACAACCATCACCCTTGGCAGTGTTGCCATAACTAAAATATATTCGTGTGTGTATCGTACATGTACTTATACAAAAACGCCACTATGTCAGTCCGATTACAGGATCAGAGCTCTAATCCTATCCAACTGCAACGAGGCGTGAGACAGGGAGATGTGATATCTCCGAAAATGTTCACTGCTGCGTTGGAGGATATTTTCAAGCTTCTGGACTAGAAAGGACTTTGCATCAACATCAATGGCGAGTACCTAACACACCTTCGATTTGCCGATGATATAGTTCTTATGGCTGAGACCTTGGGCGACCTGAACACAATGCTCGAAGACCTCAGTAGTGTTTCCCAAAGAGTGGGTCTTAAGATGAACATGGACAAGACGAAGATCATGTTGAATGTCCATGTTGTACCCGCTCCAGTTAAAATTGGGAGCATTACACTCGAAGTTGTTGACCATTACGTATCCTGGGGCAGACAGTCCAGTTAGGTAAGTCCACCTTTGAGAAAAAGATCTCTCGTCGAATCCAGCTCGGATGGGCAGCGTTCGGGAAACTACAAAAAATCTGAGCGTCCAAATTACCTCAATGTCTCAAGACGAAAGTCTTTGACCAGTGTGTGTTGCCAGTGATCACATAAGGATCAGAAACGTGGTCCCTCACTATGGGCCTCATAAGAAGGCTCAAGGTCACTCAGCGGGCAATGGAGAGAGCGATGCTTGGTATTTCCCTACGTGATAGAATCAGAAATGAGGAAATCCGTAGGAGAACTAAGGTAATCGACATAGCTCAAAGAATTGCTCAGCTGAAGTGGCAGTGGGCGGGGCACATAGCTAGGCGAACCGATAGACGTTGAGGCGGAAAGGTTCTTCAATGGCGACCGCACACCGGACGACACTCAGTGGGTAGGCCCCCCACCAGGTGGACCGACGATCGTCGTGGAGATCGTTGGGGGAGGCCTATGCCCAGCAGTGGGCGTCGTATGGCTGAATGATGAATTGAGAACTCAACAAAACTCGCAATAATACAATAAACATAATTTTTCATAGTGGCATTATAGTACCTTTCGTTTGTTACAATTAAAAATATGACTAAACATATTTTGGGTGCAATCCCATTATGTCGTGACGACAGATAGTCGTGCAGATTAAAGTGTGTCGTAACCTGTATATTTAAATGAAGTCGTTCACGACATTTTTGACGTTACGACCAGACGGTGCCGTGATAAGGCCGGCGCAGACTGACGTTGCGGCACGGCACGGCACGTCGAAGCGCGTCGCGGCATGCCGAAGCGCGTTGCGGCATGCCGCGGCACATTCGCTGCGCGCCATTCGCCGAAATCGCCGCCGCACTAGTTTCAAACCTTATTTCAATTAGTTTAATTGTCATAATTCTGTGACCGACGTGACTTGCGGGAGGTCTGTGGAATGAAACGGCATGCCACGACGTGCCGCGGTATAATTGTATCGAAATAAAGTAATGTGAATTCTAACCTCGATGAAATAAGGATAAAAATAACTTGATCAAAAATAAAATCCTTTGCCGTGCCGACAAAAACGACACGATAAAAATGTGACGACAGATAACCGTAGCGTCAAACGATTCTGTCGTGCAAAAGACAAGGCGGCTGTCGTCGCGATCAAGTGGGAACAGCTAGACACGAGTCGTTAAACGATAAAATAAACGTATACAACTTAGTTACGACAGATAGTCGTGATAATGAGAGCAGGCTAGACGCGACAGTTGTCCAATATAAATAAAACGTTACAACATAATGGGAACGTGCCGTGACTCTATAAATTAAGTGAGATTTAGAAGCTAACATCCAGTACAATAGAGTAAACTTTGATTACAATGTAACTGTTGAATTTGCAATATATTTGCAAATTCAACAGTTCAACAATAGGACATTCTCACAACACAATTAAAGTACCCATTTTAATGTACAGCTCCTCTTCAGCATGAATCTTTAAATGCTTTTTACAAGTTCTTTTAAAGCAAAGGTTTACATTTTTATACTTTTTCTCCAGTATGGACCCTTACATGACGCTTAAGTTCATGGTTAGCCGTAAAACATTTTTTGCAAATATCACACTCATATGGTTTATTACCATTATGTGCCATTACATGACACTTAAGTTGATATTTTCTTATAAAATATTTATTGCAGATTTCACATTCATACGGTTTCTTGCCAGTGTGGGCCATTATATGACACTGCAGTTGATATTTTCTTCCAAAACGTTCATTGCAGGTTTCACACTCGTATGGTTTTTTACCAGTATGGGATATCATATGGCACTTAAGTTGATGTTTTCTTATGAAACATTTATTGCAGATTTCACACTTGTATGGTTTTTTACCAGTATGGGTCATATTATGACACTTAAGTTGATAACTTCTTGTAAAACATTTATTGCAAATCTCACAAATGTATGGTTTCTCTCCAGTATGAGTTCTTAAATGTGTTTCGCAATCTGCTTTACGAACAAAAGATTTGTTACAGTGATCACATTTGAATGGTCGCTCTCCAGTATGAACCATTATATGAGTGTTAAGTTCCGGTTTTCTTATAAAACATTTATGGCAAATATCACACTTGTATGGTTTCTCTCCAGTATGAGTTTTTAAATGTGTTTCACAATCTACTTTACGGACAAAACATCTCTCACAGTGATCACATTTGTACGGTTTCTCTCCAGTGTGGACCATTATATGACACTTAACGTGATATTTTCTTGCAAAACGTTTATTGCAAATATCACATTTGTATGGTTTCTCTCCAGTATGAGTCAACATGTGAGCTTTAAGCACTTGTTTTTTTGTAAAATATTTGTGGCAAATATCACATTTATGATGTTTCTCTCCTATTTCAATGCTTAAATTTTTATTACAAATTGGTTTACAGGGAAAAGTATCATTACAATGTTCACATAGGCTTGGCTTCTTTCCAGTATGAGTTATTTTGTGACGCTTAAGATGGTGTTTACTTGTATAACATTTAGTGCAAATATCACATTTGTGTGGTCGAGTATCAACATTCAATTCATCAGAATTATTTTGCACACATCTTTCTTGAACTAAATCAACAGGCTGCAACACCACAGGTCCTACGACCAATTCTTCCTTGATTTCATGATTTGCGTAAAGTTCCTGCTTTTCCGTAATGCGGTCTTCTGCAACATCAACTGGCTCTTGTTTAATGTGGACATGCCTATGTAAACTCGTTGGGCTGTTTTCTAATTCGTTTGCCTCCTCCTTAATTTTCATATTTAGGTCTGATTGGGACATTGTGAGTAAGGTACAATATTACCGACACATTATTACTTTTCCTTTAATGGCGATCACCATGCTTGGACGAGTATCAGTTTTGTTATATGTTGCCTGTTAATTCATTTCGAGAACGCCAATGATTAAACCTAATTGTAATAATATCTTTCTAACACAGACTATTAGATTCTTTCTAATTTGTGGACTAGGCAGCAGCCAGCAGCAGCGAAACATTTATTTTTTAATCTCTCTCTTCTTTTTTTTTCTTATTTCTTGGCACTATGACGTCCAGCCTTTGGCCAGATGGCAATCTTCATTGAGTTGCCAATTTTTTAGAATTCTTCCAAATAAATATTTGCTCCTTCTTGAGACGGATATCATTGTTGCCACAGTTGTTGTTGTAGAACTTTGTTGTGGGTTTTTGGATATCTCTCCCTTCGGTCGATAAATAACAAAATAAATCAATTGTACTCGTACAGTACTACACCACCAACAAACTTGATATTTCATTCATTTGACATTTGTCATAGGGATGAGGTAAAGGCGATAGATTTTTAATGTATTGATTTTTGAAGCCAAAGTTCTCTTATAATAAATAAAAATTCACATAGTTTGATTTTTCTGACGTATTTTGAACAATGTGTAGATATGTCAACGTTTTGAATTATATTGAAGATTTATGCCTTGATGTCTTTCAATATCTGATATTGAAAGTACCTTCTACAGTACACGGTGAAAGTGTTCATGATCTTGTAAGAGAGGTTCTACCTTTTCTAAGAAGCTCTAGGACCTCGAGTGTGTAAATTGTTACTGAGATAATTAGCCCCGTGACCGGAATAGTTAGTGTTTAACAATTATTAATATGAAATTGGCTCTCAATGCCTGGTGAATACTAACCCAACTTAGATAAGTTTCCTGCCAAGGCTTAACGCCTAGGAAATAGTATTTAAAATGCTAAATTATCACCTATGTGATTATAATATTGATAATGTTTACTACATTATAAGGAACTCAAATAGTTTCTTTCTTACTTCTGTTATTCAAGGTGTGACGGGAATTCTGTTTTAGGTGAATTAGGCAGGGCATGAGGTGGGCCTATTATTCTTCCCTTATCTGTCATCCTACTTCTCTAGTTACATAAATCGCATGTAACTAGTTTACATTAATGGAACATTACTTCTCATCTTGCATCAATTAGCTACCTATGTACCCTTCAGGTATGCTGTTATCTATTTGATACATACCCGGTGTGCTCTATGTATTTATACTTGAGTTTAAATGATACTGTGGTACCATGTGAATGAAGCTATGATACTATTACCAGTATTGACATCTACAAATTACAATAAAGTATCATAAATACTTTTATTGTCCAAATAATCATTAGAATCACTTATTATCATTTAATCACTTATCATTATTAAAAACGCCCCGGAGTACGTAGTAGAGGTTCACGATACGAGAGCGGAGGTGGTCTGTTGTGGAACAACATCTATACAATCAGACTGTTGTGGGGGGTCTCGTATACCTCATAATCTTTTTTGTTGAGGGCATGTTTTCTCTTAATTCTTACTCCTTAAAATTCTTTTAAAATCTATATCATACTTGTCTATATTTATATGAATATCTCACGTACCTCTTAAAAAATCACAGGTTACATACTTATTCACTTAAAACACCACGTAACAATAGGTCCTAACTAAACTAGATGATCACATAATTGAATTTTATTATGGCTATTTTTATAGATTCATAGTATCTTCTATGCGTTGGTACTACTTTGCTATATATATAATGAGAATCCTGAGAGCGGTATGTACGTGGATGATTCGGAAACGGTACAAATAGGCCGCTATTATAATTTGAAAAACCTGATGAATTTATTTTATTCAAACTTGTATTAAGACATTTCAGGACGCTAACGAATTCTTTTAATTATGATTTTGCCATTGTTCTGGAGAAGGAAAAAAGTTACATCATCCTTTGACTATATTAAAATTTCTAGTTCTTATAAGTATAAGCCTAGCACTTGATACGTCCGTTATTTTGTTTCAATTTCATTTCATTAATATAATGTTTGTATACACACACAACATATCTAACTAATTCTAAGCCTTGATACCGGATTTGCCAAAAAATAAAATCTACTTACACGTTTCATTATTGTAGGTACACATTATATTTGAAGATAGTTCAAATCGATCGTGATCGCGATCCTTTCATTTGGTCGTCTGGCAATAAGAAGTACTTAAAATTTAACAAAGTTTGCAAGAGTTTATAGTGAAAAATTGTCCCCTGAAACAGGTCTCGTTTACGAAAATAAATACAATACAATACAAAATACTTTATTTCTCTCATAAAGGTCTATAAGTAGTTACATTTCATATATAATAACACTTCGTATATAAAATAGTACTAACATTAACCACTGAATGCAGAAAAACTAGTCTTCAACCACCATAATTTGCCTTTATGGAAATTTGAGTACTAAATTTACAGATAAAGTTACTTAACTTCATAGTTCTTTAAATAAACAGATTGTCAACGACTCTGGAGTTCCTGTTTAGCCTATTACTATAATTTTTAATAAATAAATCAATTTATTTAGCGTACTGATTATGAATTTTTCTTGGCTTTAAACATCCGGTATCCGGCCGGATATTGTTGTATTAACCGGTATCCGGCCGCATAGTAAAAATAGGCCGGATACCGGACAGTTACCGGATATCCGTTTCATCTCTAATAAAAACTGATCTCGATATTAGTAGACAAACTGTCAAAATAAGAATAAAGAAGGCAATAACGCAATTAGTAATCATTAGAACGTTGTAACTTTCACAATTCAGTAATTTTTGGCAAAATTTTATCTTCTTTCGCAATCTATCGATAAAACTATCGACACGAACTACATAATTGTTTAAAATTTTACGAAAACTGTCAACACTTTTGTGTGTCGTGCGGCGACTAAAAAAGTGGTTGGCGACTCGGCGATATTTAGGCTATGTTTGAAATAGGAAAAAGGCTCTTTTAGGCTACTTAATAAAATGTCTGGGGAATTACAAATTTTATTGGATTTTGTGGGGAATGGAATTTCTTGCTTTTTAGGGATTTTATGGCTTGGGCGAACATCGGCTACTAGAGATGGGTCATGGATAAATATCATTGAGATAAATACTCAGTAGAAAGATACATATGGATAAATATCCGTATAAAAATAAAAATGGATAAATATCCATATTTATCCATTTTTACTCGATATTTATCCAAAAACGTGGATAAATATTTTTATTCGTGGTTTATTATGCATATTTAGTAAAACAAAGTATAATTTTAAGCTTAATTGTAAACATTGATACAATTTAGTAGCATGTACATGTAGTATATTGCTTGTTATACCTTTTTTCTATACGCAGTGATAAAAATAATCCTTTTAAGTACCGAAAATCCCTGTATTTTTACGTGAACCTAATTATTATTGTTATATATATATATACACTATGGTTGGTAGATCTATGGATACAATTGACACTGTAAATGTCTTCTGCAAATAATAAAAATGCTTGGATTATGTTAATATTAGTTTATTTCATTGGCGACGAGGAGTAACCAAACAAAATGAATAAGGAACAATTCCAAGAATTTCTACAATTACAAAAAAATCAGCAACAACAGATTTCGGACATTTTGCAACAACTTGTGTTGCAGCAACGACCAGCAGTGGAGCTCCCCTAGCACTGATCATAAGCCATTGATTCACGTTTTGGGGCCACAACGTAACTTGCCGAAAATTGTCAATAACCGTCTAGTGCGTTGGGCTTTAATCATTGGAGGGTATGACTACGATATAGTTTTTACAAAAGGGCATCTAAATTTTATGGCTGATTTTCTTTCTAGGATGCCCAATCCAGAAGATAAACCGTCTAATGCAGAATTGACAGTACACAGAGTGGTAGCTCAGTTGCAGCATGAAAGAGTTTCGGATATTGCGTTAACAGAGGACAGTGTACGAGGCGCGACAAGGAAGGACCCTTTGCTTAAACAGGTATCAGAGTACATTAAGACCGGCTGGCGTGAAAATTTTTATTCAGATGACTTAAAGCCCTATGCTCGGAAGCGCACTGAGTTGTCCATTGAAAATAAGATATTAATGTGGCAAGGTCGAATAGTAATACCGAACACCCTGAGAAAGGCCACCTTGGAATATCTGCATACAGGACACCCAGGCATATCCGCAATGAGAGCGCTAGCACGTTTTTACGTATGGTGGCCGTCCATTGACGATGACATTGAGGAGTACATTAAACGTTGTCGCAAATGCCAAGAGAATCGGCCGAACAACGCTGAATTGCCTATATACTCGTGGTCCGTTCCTGACAACCCGTGGGAAAGGCTACACATTGATTTTGCAGGCCCGTTCGAGGGAAAATATTGGTTTGTCTTAGCAGATGCGCTTTCGAAATGGGTCGAAATTAAACCCATGAACCAGATAACCACTTCTAAACTGTGTGAAGAGTTAGATTCCATTTTCACCACCTTCGGCTTCCCTCAATTCTTGGTTTCTGACAATGGACCACAGTTTACTTCTCAGGAATTTCAAGACTATTGTAGAGACAAGGGTATTCTACACATAAAATCATCCCCGTACCATCCCCGGACTAACGGTTTGGCTGAACGTCTGGTTCGCACTTTCAAATCCAGGCTATCATCAAGTGCCAGTGACCATCTCACCTTGAAAAGACGACTAGAAAATTTCCTTTTTTCCTACCGCATAACACCTCATTCCACCACCGGTAAGAGCCCAGGACAACTTATGTTCGGACGTCAGCTGCTTTGTATTTTGGATAACGCACGCCCTAACTCTAAAAAGGCCCTGCAGCATAGGCAGATACAGGCTAATATAAATTCAGAAAATTTAACACCATGTTTTAGATCGGGGGACAGCGTGTTTGTCCGAGCCCGGGATGGGTCACGATGGGAACCTGCTACCATATCCAGACGTACGCATAGATACTCGTACACCGTAGACACAGCCAATGGGGTAGAAAGGAGATATCATGCTGATCAAGTGCGTTCCCGCTTAGCCGACCATATCAGTCCAGTTTCTACTGATGGCTCTCAGGCCACACACGACCCGCATCATATAAACACCAGTGAGGTGGAACCCCTTGCAAGTTCGTCAGGAACGCAGAACTCAGCTACCACCCCAATGCGGCCATGCGCTGCTACTACGCATTCGCCACCTACCACGGCGTCCCTACAGCAAGCATCAAAGCGCCATGAGCGCACCATCAGGCGACCTCGGCGGCTTATCGAGGAGATGTTGTAAATTGTAGGGATGGACGAATGTTATATATATATATACACTATGGTTGGTAGATCTATGGATACAATTGACACTGTAAATGTCTTCTGCAAATAATAAAAATGCTTGGATTATGTTAATATTAGTTTATTTCAATTATTTAAATGCGTAGTTTGTTAAAAAAAAATTGTTACTAAGTTGGTCCGTTTTCGTTAATTTGTTTCATTTACATTTGTTCAGCTTCGTATATAGAATAAGGGCGCTCCCTTACC